TTGAATTGAATTGAATTGAAAGTATGGAGGTGTCCCCATGTTTTGACCATCTGTTGCCATCAGGTACCTCTTTTGTCATCAATGTACATTAAAAATATTGTTGTAGTTTTATTTTTAAATTGCATTATTACTAAATGAAGTCAGTTTCATCTCATCAGTGTCTGGTCTTTATCATGGAACAAAAGGTTGTTGAGAATTCATCACAATTTTTGTTAATGAAACTCAAATTGTGTTTGATTTTATTCTACTAAATGATACCATGAAGCTCTACAAGTAAGTCTCCCTGTGTGCTTTGTCCCTCCAGCCCCTCCATAGATCGCTGTAACACCAGTTTTGATGCTGTGGCAAGGATCCGAGGAGAGACTTTCTTCTTCAAAGGTCTGAATACGCCAGAAACTGACTTGATAGGCATGTCAAATTAGAAAATGGACATCCATCTCCCTTGCTCAACCATTTCTTCGCTTCTGCGTCTTCTTGTATCTCCAGGTCTGATGATGTGGAGAGTCAATGGTGGTGGTTTGGTATCAGGCCGAGGGGCTTCTGTCAGGAGGCTGTGGAGGGGTCTACCACCTGATCTACCTCATGTTCATGCTGTACTGGAGAGACAGTCAGATCATGCCATAATCTTTATCAGTGGTATATTCCAATAATGTTTATAAAACATTGATTTAATATATATTATATATTTGAATATAAACCATAACAGTTTAACTTCTGTGAAACCATCTGGATCAACTTATTTACATTATCAACAGCAGATCACGTGATTTTTCTTGACAAATGTGGAGGGAGTCAGCCCAGTAACCTCTCCAGGTCGTGTCTTGCTGCAGGTTCCCAATTCTGGCTGTTCAGGGATCTGTCCCTGCAGGAAGGCTACCCTCAGCCCCTGTCTGCCCTCAGGATGGGGGTGAGTTTATTTGGAGCCGATGAGGAAGAGAAGGAGGAGGAGGAGGAGGAGGAGGAGGAGAAGGCAGCGGCGGGGAGGTGGGGCCTGCTCTGGGACCCAGAGGAGGGCCCCGTGTGGGGGAAAGTGGGAGTTTCTGAGAAAGAGAAGCGAGAAGATGCCTGGACTCAGCTGCTTAGAGATGGTGTCAGTGGCATCACCACAGACAGCGATGGTGAGTACAGGAATCATCTTTGTATCTGTGTGTCACATTCTCTGTCTCTAAAAGGACCAAATTCCCTGCTGAGGATAAAATGTCTATTTGGATAGGCTTTACCAGAGCTTCAGGTTTGTCTACAAATGTAGGTGGTTAAGATGATTTTTGTAAACTGGCTTACTGGAGTAGGAAGAGGTATGGGGGGTAATGGTCATGGATGTATTTTAAGATCAGTTTATGCATCTGCCTCCATTGTTTCAGGCTTTTCTCCACCTTTCAGCACACATATTGGCCCATAAAGAAAACTGCAGAGAGTGCAAAGAGTGTTGTTTGTTAGAGCTGCAAAACATTTAAAAACATTTCAAGTTGTTGGGTGTGAAAACTCCTCTCCCTATCCTCCAGGCTCCGTCTATCTCTTCAGAGGAGAATCCTACTGGAAGTTCACGTTTCCAGGCTCCTCACTGCAGGACGGATACCCACGATCCTCTGCTGCAGACTGGCTGGGCTGCCCTGACCCCTCCTCATCCTCGCCTGTGGTGGACGACCTCTCCTTGTCTCTGTCTCCGCCTGCAGGACGACAGGAGCTCAGGGAGAGATGGAGGGAGGGGAGGGAGAAGGAGGAAGGAGGAGAGAGGATGAGGGACCATGGGAGGGACAGACATGGAAATAAACATTCAGACATGCAGGACAGAGGTTCACACATCTGGACACAATGCACTTGCCAGAATGGAGCTCTCAGTAGCAGAACGACATCTTTTATTGCTGCCTTGCTGCTCATTACATGGACACTGTTGGCTATTTAAAGCCGCACAAGACCATAAAAGTCAACTGTCATATCAGGCAGGAGGTCGGGCTGTATCTACAAACAATCACCATGTGCATTAACTAATAGTTCAACATTAACTCTTATTTGTTCTCTTTTAGAGAGTGAGGTTAGAAGATCCATATGTCTCTCATGTTTTGTGTGTTCAGTACAAAGCTGGAGTCAGGACGTGATGAGTCTAGCTTAGTATAAAGACCGGAAACAGGGAGAACTTATGGATCCGCACAGCAATAACTTCAGCACGAGGAAACAGCAACCTCAGTTGTGATCATTGTAAAGCCACGTTGGCCCTAATGAAGCCCTTTTCTTCATAATGTGTTGGCTCTAGATCATAACGCCGAAAGTTTTTTTTCAGAAATTGCTTTTCTTATTGTTAAGTGCTTTTCACATGGATAGAAAGATGTTTTGTCATTAGAGGTTCTATGCTGCACATGCTTTTGGGACTTTCTGATCTATGAACTGTGTTCCTCTGTTGCACAGGGCTGACATGGAGCTGTACTATCTAACTGGCTCATGTGGACTTTTGAACTATATGTTGTAGTAAGGGTTAAGATGGAGTGGTTTAAATTTGTGATCTTTTGTCAAAGCATATTGTGGGTACTGCAGGGAACAGGGGGAAAAGTTTTTCTGCAGCACAATCATATGAATATAGCAACATCCATTAGTATTAGTAACATCCTTGCAATGTAGTTGAAGCTTTATCACATAGCTTTATTTATATTATGTTTGGTTCTTTTTGAGCAAATGTCTATCCATAAAATGCCAATCCATAATAAAATAGTAAAATCCGGTCTAGGAACATTTTATTTTAGTTATGATACCAATATAATGTTAAAAACCACACTCACTAGAGTATCAGGAGAGCACTGTAATGCACTTCTGATAGCATCACAGGATTTTAGGATGTTCCCCGTATTTTTGTTGCTCCATTTTGACAGCCACAAGAAAGCGCACACAAGCACCAATTGAGGACAGTGTATGGATTTTAAAGGTTGTACCAGTCAATACAAAAAATGGATCAAATGACAGTGTGAAATAAACTGATGATGACATGATGAGCTACATAGGTTCCTCACATGTCTCTTTAAGTGGTGAACTAACTTCAAGCACTCCTAGTGACATTTGCAAGAGGAACCTGAGTGTCTGTGTTATGTATTACTGTCAGGATATAGTGAAAGTTTCAGCAAATTCTCGAACAGCAGCTCCATGGAAGACCATGTCAGCTGACACTCACTTCACCAACAAATGTCGACGGTGGACGCTCATTGCTAAATTATCTAGAAAATACAACCAGGTTGTAACATAACATGCAGATGATGTTAGCCTGTTGGAGAAGATAACATTGATTTTAGCCCATTGAAAGTATATATTATGGACAGAACTTCCGGTGTCTTAAAACCTGCATTCTATGTAAAGGCCAGCAGGGGGAGCTCCATTGGCTGCAATAACACAGCTATCCTATTCACTCTAATGGAGAATAAGCCGACTTCTCACTTCATTTATGAGCTCAGTAAACAGTTTCCTGATGAGTTTATGGTCTCAGTCACTAGTTTCACATCTTCTTCCATACATTATGATGTTCATTTAGTAAATTATGGTCCAATTTAGAGTAAAATAGACGATAAAGCCACATATGTTT